GAGAGACTGAGACAGAGAGAGAGACTGAGACAGAGAGAGAGACTGAGACAGCTCATAACCTGCTGACAGAGAGAGACAGAGAGACACACACACTCACACACAGTGATAAACAGACAGACAGAGACTAGAGTGACAGACAGAGTGTGTCAGGAAAAGACCAGAGGGAGAGACACACATACTGTGACAGAGAAGGTGAGAGACAGACGACACAGAAAGAGAGAGAGACACACACACACACAGACACACGCAGTGACAGACAGAGAGTGAGACACAGAGACAAGCAAAGACAAAGAGACACACACTCGCACACAGAGGCAGGGAGGGAGACACACACCCTCACACACAGTGACAGTCAGACAAACATTGAGAGCGACAAACAGAGAGAGAGAGAGAGAGAGAGAGAGAGAGGAAGAGATCCACACACAGAGGCAGGGAGAGAGAGAGAGACACACACACACACACGCGCGCACACACTCACTCAGTGACAGACAGACAGAGACTGAGAGCGACAGACAAGAGAGACACACAGACAGGACTGATGGGGCGAAGGACACTCACTGAATGCTATGAGGAACTTGCCGTATCCCCTGCGCTGGTAGGGGGGCAGAGTGAGGATACACGCCACGTTATTGCCATCGGGGGACTCCTTTTCCTGCAACACACAAAAAAAGCTCCCTGCTAAGTGCGTGGCTCACTCATGGAATCAGAGAGTCATACGGCACGGAAGGAGGCCATTCGGCCCATCGCGCTCTCCCCCCATAGCTCTGATCAACCCCACTCCTCCAGCTCTCTCCCCCATAGCCTGATGACCCACCCACTCCCCCCCATAGCCTACGACCCCCTCCCCTCTCTCCCCCCATAGCCCTGATCGACCCCACTCCCCCCACTCTCTCTCTCTCACAGCCCTGATCAGCCGCACTCCCCCCCCCCCCCCCCCGCTCTCTCTCCCCACAGCCCTGATCAACCACACCCCCCCCCACTCTCTCTCTCTCTCCCCCACTGCCTTCTCTCTCTTACCTTGGAGAAATAGCCCACGATATGTGCCCCCTCTCTGTCCACCTCGGTCAGGATGTAGAAGATAAAAGGCTCCACATCAAAGTACAGTGTCTTGTGGTCTAGGAACAACTTGGCCAACAGACACAGGTTCTGACAGTAAATCTGTGTGAGACAAGAGGGTTAGAGAGAGAGAGAGAGACAGACAGACCAACAGACAGACAGAGAGTCAGACAGACCGACAGACAGACAGACAGACGCAGAGAGAGAGGGAGAGTCAGACAGACCAACAGACAGACGCAGAGAGAGAGGGAGAAAGAGAGATTCAGACGGACCGACTGACGAGAGAGAGAGAGAGAGTCAGACAGACCAACAGAGAGAGAGAGAGAGATAGACAGAGAGCGCGGAGGGGTAAGGAGACAGACAGAGACACAGATGGGGTGGGGGGAGGGTAAGGAGACAGACAGGCAGATGGGGGGGTGGGGGGGGGGAAGGCTTCAGGCCCCCACTAAACACTGACCTTGTGATCACGACCATCGACCTCGTACACCGAGATGTTTGTCTTGCGGTAGATTTCCTTCCCAGGGGGTTGTCTCCACTGGCACTGGGCCTGACAGAGAGAGAGAGAGAGAGAGAGAGAGTGTGAGTCTCTCTCACGCACACACTCTCTCTCACATGCTCACTCTCTCTCGCATACTCACTCACTCACTCACACTCAGACTCTCACTCTCACACACTCTCTCACATACTCACTCTCTCAGACCTCTCACACGCACACACACTCTCTCACGCACTCACTCTCTCGCACTCTCTGACTCTCACACTCTCTCACGCACACACCCTCTCTCACGTACTCGCTCTCTCAGACTCTCACTCTCTCTCAAGTGCTCTCTCGCCTACTCACTCTCTCACACTCTCTGTCTCTCACGCACACACTCTCTCTCACGCACACCGTCCCTATCTGGGTCTCTCTCACACACACACTGTCTCTCTCTCGCTCACACACACACTCTCTCGCTCTCACACACACTGTCTGTCCCAATCTGTGTGTCTCTCTCACACGCACTGTCTGTCCCTATCTGTCTCCCTCTCACACCCACACGCGCTCTCTCTCGCTCACACACACGCTCTGTCTCTCACTCTCTCACGTACGCTCTCTGTCTCTCTCACGCACACGGTCTGTCCCTATTTGTGTCTCTCTCTCACACACACACACACACTCGCTCTCTGTGTCTCTCTCACACCCACACGCACGCGCTCTTGCTGTCTCTCTCACACACACGCGCCTGCTCTCTCTCTCTCTCTCTCTCTCTCTCTCGCTGTCTCTCACCAGATGAAAGCGGTAGGTTTTCTGGAACTTCATGTACTTGAGGCAGTATTCACAGATCCACAGCTTGGGCTGTTTGCCGTAATCCTCGGGGAATGGGGAGAAATACCAGGCGTCAATCTCGTAATTCCCAATCTGGATCTTATCCACGTACTTCACCTTAGTGATCTGTCACCACACAGGGAGGAGGGAGAGAGTGAGGCACAGAGGGAGAGAGAGAAAGAGTCAGAGAGAGCGAGAAAGAGAGAGGGAGAGAGAGAGAGAGAGATAGCAGGAGAAAGGGAGAGAGGGAGAGAGAGAGAGAGAGAGGAGAGGCGTCAAACAGAGAGGGGGAAGAGAGCAAGAGAGAGAGACAGAGTGAGAGAGGTCAGAGAGAGAGAGAGAGAGAGAGAGAGACAGACGTCACAGAGAGAGAAGGGTCAGCGGGTGAGAGAGAAAGAGATTACATCCGAGAGAGAGAGAGAGAGAGAGAGAGAGACAGTCAAAGAGCGAGAGAGGGAGAGGGAGAGAGAGAGAGACACACGTACAGAGAGAGACAGAGACACACACACTGGCGTGTCTACCCACCGCCTCATGCTCTTTCTCCAGCGCTGCTGTGGTGGGGTCCATCTCAGCGTATGTCTGTAACACACACGCAATATATATATATATATGTGTATATATATGTATCTTCTATGCTAATAAAGACAAAATGTGCGCGTGTGCGTCTGTCTGCCGATAACACAATAACAGACTGACGTAGAGGCATGATTTGCACCTCGTCGGAAAGGCCTTGCATTGGGGGAGTGTCGTGGGCATATTGTTTATCCGGGATCTCCTATCGTTGATGCACTCTGTTAAAAAAAATGCTTTCAATAAGCCCCAAAATATGAGGTATGCATGGTACTGTGCAACAAAGTAGTGACAGAGGAAAGCACACACCCTTCAAGAGAGATACATCTATATTATACTAAGATAAAGACAAAATATCTGTGTGTGTGTGTGTCTATCCACCAATAACACAATAACCGATTGATGAAGATACATGAATTATTCCTGGTCGGAAAGGTCTTGCATGGGGGAGTGTCATGGGCATATTTTGTTTTGGGGGGGGAACTCCTATCGTTGATGGGCTATGATCCAAACAAGCTCACCACACATGTATGGCAGTATTGCTTAAGGGATGCACACCACCCCTCACTCCAGCTCTCCCGCACCATCCCTCTCTCCAGCTCTCCCCCACCATCCCTCTCTCCAGCTCTCCCCCACCATCCCTCTCTCCAGCTCTCCCCCACCATCCCTCCTCCAGCTCTCCCCCACCATCCCTCCCTCCAGCTCTCCCCCACCATCCATCTCTCCAGTTCTCCCCCACCATCCCTCTCTC